TTATTATGAGACAGGATCTAGGTAAGTTGCCTAGACTGGGTCTGAACTTGTGATCCTCCTGCTTCACCCCCTCCAATGCTGGGATTATAAGCATGCACCACCACACCAGGCAAACTGAGCCTTCTTGAAGAAGCTGATAAAGATACCACACAGAAGTTCAAAACAGTTTGATTCAGGAAACAAAGTGCTCATTTCAGCAGTGAAAGTGGCATTTACTCAGTGTGCCACGCAAAGCTGTGTGTGAGGAAAGACAAGGGCAGAAAGATAAAAAGAAGATACAGATGCGGCAGAAGGAACAGCAGGAACAACTCACACTAGGCAAGAACAGGGGCCCTGGGAATGTTAGAAATATAAAGAGGGGAGCTGGCATGGCGGGGCAACCTGAAACTCCAGCACTCTGGGAGGCTGAGGCAGTAGTATCACAAATTTGAACTTAGCCTGGGTACCTTATTGAGATCCTGTCTTAAGACCCTGGGTTCAATCCCCAATATCAGAAAAAAATAAAGGAGGAATTCAGAAAACTCAACTTGCTGTGTGCGTGCATGTGCTTGTTTATACAATGGGTCGTTCTTTCCAGGAACGGTGGCCATTATCCCCTCCCAGTACCACTGAGGTTGTCCCCCATCTCAGCAGTTCAGTGGTATGTACCATTGGGAGCAGGTTAATGAGCGAGTAGGTGCACATATATGATGGCCAAATCTAAGGTTGGAGTGCTCCACACAAATCTGCTAGGACAGCTGTCAATATGAGGTCTCCCACAAAAAACTCGGGAGCTACTTTCTGAGCCCATGAAGCTTCTCAAGGGAATCTAATTTCATCCCGAAATCTGAGGGTTTTGCAAATGTGGCCTTTAGAGGGCATAGGGTAGAAGATAAGATGATATTTATAAACCCTAGTTCAGTGGTGCAGAAGCTATGGCACGCATGACACACTGGGCACGCAAAACCCTCTCTGTTGGCAGGCACGCAGGCCAAGTCACCCCAGCATTGCCCGAGCAGCAGAGTATTGGATAACAGTGCACATATGGGCAGTGTTGGCACTGAGTGATAAATATGAGGTTTTACTTTGCAATGAATAAGCTGGTTGCAGTTTGGGCACTCGGTCTCTAAAAGGTTCAACATCACTGTCCTAGTTCCTTGTTTGATGATCGTCAGGGTAATTGATCATGATATTCTGCTCTGTTTGATTCTTCCTCCCTTATGAGTTTTACAGGACCAGAGAGTGTTTCTTGCTCCTGTTGGACCTACATGAATATTCTTATGTGGTTTTCACTACATAGTTGTCACATTCTACCCTACAGGGAGCTCCATTTGATCAGCAGGGGATGACAGACAGAAACATATACAAACATACATTTGCTTTCAAAAATAAACATAGTGCTTTTGGTAAGAGATGCTATATTAGGAGCATCTTCTTTCTTGTAAAGTAAACACACTTCTCCATTGACCTTGTAAGCACCTTCTGTGTCAGTGTTAAGGTTCAGGCCTCTTAGATTTTGATATCTTGCTTAAAGAGATTCCTTGGCTTAGGCTTGATTTGACAATGACAATTCCTAAGTTTCTTTGGTTTTGGGAGGTGGATCTTCTAAAACTGGGCTCCCCAACCCTTGGACCAATGATGGGTACCAGTCTGTGGCCCGTTAGGAACTGGGTCATACAGCAGTAGGTAAGTGAGGAAAACTTCGTCTGTATTTGCAGCTGTTCCCCATAGCTGGAATCACTGCCTGAGCTCTGCTTTCTGTCAGGTCAGCAGCAGCATTATATTCTCATAGAGGCTCAAACCCTACTGTGAACTCTACATACTAGGGATCCAGATTTTGTGCACCTTATGAGAATCCAATGCCTGATGATCTGAGGTGGAGCTGAGGTGGTGATGCTAGCATTGGAGAATGTACAGTAATGACATATCACAAATGTATACTAATTAAAAAAAAACTAACCCGCCCCTCAGTCTATGGAAAATTATCTGACACAAAACTGATCCCTGATGCCAAACAGGTTGCGGATCACTGTTCTAGAAGACAAGCCATCTGAACTCATAAGCTCCAGGGCATAGCAAACAACTTGGTCTGACTTGCTTTGTCCCTTTTCCCCCCATGGAAACTAATATCAGTACTCATTCAAAAACTTTGTGTGTTTGCAAAAGTCTGAGACAATGATAGAATCTTGAGCTACAGAGAAGACCAGGAAGATTTCTATACTCAGTGCTTGAGTTTCCAGGGCTGGTTCTAGTTTCCTGTACTATCTTGATCTTGACCTGGTCCCATTGCTCTGTGTACTTCTCTGTATCTTTATCAGCCTCCCAGAGAATCTCTGTAACACAGGACAAAAGCTAGAGGTCTGTGATGGTAGTGAGGCTCCTGTTTGACACCTCTTGAGGTGCTGGAATGAGTGTATAAAGTACTTGCCATGTTTGGTGCTTTTATGGTTACACTTTTAAACTTCTTATTCACGAGGGACAAACTTGATCTATCTGAGACTCCTACAGTAAAAGGCCTCCTCATCAAATCATCAAATCCAACTTTCTGTATTCCCAGCTAAAAATCAAAACATCTATCTTATCTCTGCATCTATTTGTGTACGTATTTCCCTCCCTCCACCTCCATAAAGTAAAAGACCATACTCCAAAGGAATTTCTTCACAGATGCTAAATGCCTAAAATCTAGCTTTTTTTTAAATACAGGGAAGGGTAGATATTGTTTTTACTTCTGTTTTTCTTCTAGGAGGTTCCAAGTAATTAAAAGGATCCAGGGCTGGGGATTTAGCTTAGTGGTTCTGCCACCTGCCTCGCAAGCACAAGGTCCCGAGTTCTATCCCCAGTACCAAAAAAAAAAAAAAAAAAAGAAAAAGAAAAAGAGGAATAAAAGCATCCATACTTAAAAAGGACCCACTAAGTACAAGACACATTGTTAGACACTTTATATACATAAAAACTGTTCAGATAAGGAGGCTTGTGAGAATGAAGTGATATTTTCCTGCCCCCACCATGACCCTTTTTAATGGATCAGTCCTCCTGCCTGGAATGGGTAAAGGAATGTACAAATCACCAGAACTCTTTAGCTAGAAATTAAAGGGCCTCTAATTAAAAGAAGCTGGGCCTGGGCCAGTTAGCCACATCATTAGGGGAGATGCATTTGAAGCTTACCGCCTCAGGACCACACAGTCCCTACCTCCTACTCCACCTAGCTGTCTCAGGTTAGTCTCAGGCAAAGGTAGAAATGAGGCCAAGTCTGCTTCCCTAGAGCCCTATAGCACTAATAGCACTAATACTGCCCCCCTCCAAGCAAAAACCCTGTTGTAGGTGGAGCGTAGCTACTTCAAGCTGCTCCTGACTCATCCATTTCTCAAGCAAAATCCCAGCAGCCCATTCCCTCAGGGCCCTACTCTCAGATCTAGAGCTGATAAACTAATTGGAGCTAATGTGATAATGGGCAATAATGACTTTTACTGTTTTTTTTCAGGCCCAGGGCATACATTTGTATGCAGAGAGGGCCCTTGGCCAATACACCCAGTTGAAAAGGAGGGAAGTGTAGGACTGTGTGGTGTAAATTACAGAGGCAAAGGGGCTTTATAGAGCTGCCCTAAACTGTACTGCCCTAAGCTTCAAGACCTCCTTTAAGAACAGCTTGAGTTCCAAGACCTCCGAAATCCACTGGTGCTCTCCTTCTCTGCAATCATGTTATATAGCAAGCATGGAAGAAGTCATACCACTGCTCATTCCCATCCTACCTTCAGAATACAATAACCATTTGCTTTCTGGTCTGTTCACCAGGAGCCTCGGCTCACATGTAGGCCTTTCCTTTTTACACGAGGAACTTCTTGCTTTTGATCATAAAATCTTTATCTCTTTGCCAAAACTCTATTTCCCTTCCCTCTCCCACAAAGGGGGTAGGTCCTGTGAGTTCAAGATACCTTCTTGGACACATCACTCAGGCCAGGCCACTGTCAGGGAAGACTCAAGAGAGAAAGTTAATGGTTAGGGGATGGTATTTTTCCTAGCCAGGGCAGTTGCTCCTCTGTACAGGTGCATGAACATCTGTGACCTAGTGAAGCAGAAACAGGTAACTCCTTGCATGCCCTTGGCCCAGGAGGTTGCGTAAGTATTTGAGATCTACAGACCCTCCTCATCTGCTTTCTTGCCCAGACTGTTGTTTTATTCCCTGTTTCAGGATCTTGGTCACTCCCTTTGGTGCTCCTATAGGGAGAGTCAATAAACAGGAAAAAAGATCGTAAGTGTCAAGGGGAAATGAAAAAACTAGATAATCCAGCAAATCAGCCCTTGCATTGTCGAGAAATGACTGCTGGGGCTGGATAGCTCATAGTGGAGCTTCCCTCTAGGGACCTTCTCGTTCAAACTTTCCTCCAACGCTCTTACCTGGGGCCAAGGGAGAAAGGCTTCTCAAAGTCCCTTGAAATTGTGAAGAGTCACTGTCAAGAAGGCAGTCATGGTGTCTGGAGAGAGAATTGGCCAGAAGCTCCTTCAGAACATAATACCTGCAGAGCCAGGGAAAAGATCTTGGCGCCAAAGCTGAGTGGACTAAATACAGATTAGAGAATGAGACAGATGTTCAAGAAGGCTCCTCCCCACACACCCCTCCACCGCCATCTCTGCCAGATTTGGACTTCTGCTCACTTTCCTTTTATACTCTCCCTTCCTGATGGTGTCTTTGGGGAGCATGGTGCTTTTCACCCGAAACTGCCTGTAAGCTGAAAAGAACAGTCACCACCAAATCAATTCCTCATCTATTAACAGGTTGTCTCTCTGTACTTGAGACACAGGCATAACCTGGTTAGACCTGTTTTGTTTGAACACTAACGTGTGAGTTGGCCAAATGCAAATGAGCCAATGTTTGTAATCCTTTATTTTATTCTTTTAAAGGGCTGGGCAGCCAATCACAAGAGGGGGAAGTGACTTAGGGAATTCCCGGTTGGTGGCTTATTGCTTAATATCCTACAAAATGATTTTAAATTATTGTCATATGCATTTATCTTCACTCTGATGAGGGCTCAGACGTGATAACACCTGTGGTTCCCCATCCTGGTAGGAGCTGGCGTGACATCTGCTGGCTGCCTCCACTCCTCTCCATTAGCCAGAGATATTGGATTTCCCACCCAGAATCTTTAGGCAAATGAGGTAAGTCCTTATTTTTAAACCTTCTTTTGGAATTCAAACACCTGCATGGGAAGAGAAGCCTGCCTTGAACCAGACAAATGAAAATAGAGCAGCCTCCCGGAGGTAGCTGGCAAGAATGAAGCTTGCCTACCTGGGCTTACCTCACTGCCTCTTGTTAGAGTTTTATTTCAGGGGCAGCCGAGCTCTTTGGGTGCTATCTGTGGATTTTCTGCCTTGTTTGGACTTCTAATCACCGTGAATTTAAAGCCCCTGGTTTCCCTCTACCTGTGGGGCAAAGTCACGTTCCTGGGTTGGATTCTTCTGAAACAAATAGGCAGATAGGAATAGGTGACTCTGGTGTAGCTTAGTGAACAGTTGATTGGCTAAGTAAGCTTTGGGGGCTCAGAGCACACCATGTCACTCTCTAGAGATGTCTTCTGCTGATAATTTTCCTGACTCGTGAGCTATAGGGAAAGGCCAACTCGACTTTAATAAGTTCCAGTGTTGGAAAATAGCTGGAAATAGGCAGGGAAATTACATCCACATGGGAAAGAGTGGCCAGGCAGCCAAGATAGTGAGGGGCACTGGGGAGAGCTAACCATTTAAAAATGAACTCTGTCTAGAAAAAAAAAATCTATTTAGGCAAAAGGTTTTACCATATCACAAAGGGACAAAGTCATCTTTTGTTCCATAATGGAATATTATGACCAGACAAGCAGACATGACTCAGCAGCAACAAATGCATTAGAAGCAGGGACTCTTTTGATTCTGTTTGGACACCATGAAGAAGGACTGGTCCCCGTGTGGACAGAACTGGGACAGCGAGGAATTAATCTTGTCAGTCCGCAGCAGCACCAAAGTGGTGCCACTTTGTCAATCTGTCCATCTTTGTCAGTTTAGTATCCCAAGCGCTATTGTGGAAGTGCGTGTTGTTAAGATGAAGGGTAAGATTCTGGGAGGTCAAGTACACAGTGTCTCTGCTGGTTGTCTGCAATCATCTCAGTGGCAGGGAGAAAAAGAGTGAGTGTTTGGATTCTGAGAACTTCTGATGAAAGGTTTAGTTTAGGCACTGATTCTATAGATACAGGTGTGAAGTTGTGCGCAGATAGTATCTTTCAGTGTGCAAAAGGGAAGTTGGGGATCGTGTGTGGCAGCATGCTACTTCCACTGAGGTTAAGGAAAGAGTCAATTTCCAACAGGAGAGATGAAGATACATTATTAGTACCAATAACAGATTTTAAGGAGAAAAAAAAAGAATTCATGGTTAAGAAATGCTATCAGAAAAAAATTCTTAAAGAGATTTTAAGAATGACGGTAATGGCTGCATTTAGTTTGTAGAAGGCTCCATTTGTCCTCTTTTTGTGACCTAAAATTCTGGGACTATGAAATAACTCGTTAATTCCGTCTTTTTTATAATATGCCATCACGTAGGACCACACTGCTTCCACACCAATGGCTAATTATGTCTAAAAATGGCGATGGAAATGAAATGGGATTGACAGTCATTTGGAAGTCTGTAACCACGCTTTAAAAATTAATTTCCTTCTCTGTATTTCCACAATATTTTACAGAGGCATTCTAGGCAAATGCTCTACCACTGAGCTATATCCTCAGACATGTGGAAGCATTCCAAAAGAAAGCAACCCTGGAAGAATAGCTGTGCTCAAAGTTCTCTTACACTGGTATTCATGATGCTTTTTAGGAACTTAAAAAAAAAAAAACCTTTATTTTTGTTAGTACGCTTTTTCAGTATATAATGATTGCATTCATCATGGGGAGTTGGTACATAACACAACTTAATTCCCATCGTCCTTAGGACCTTTTAAGGGTGGCTATGGGTAGGGCAATGTATTTGATCAAGGCCTCAAATGGTCTCAAAAAATCTATTACATTAATTTTCTTGCGCTAAAAATTGCCTATTTGTTAAATTCACACACACATTATATATATATACATATATATATATATATGATTTCTTAATATATTAATATATTGTGTTTTCTCAATGGAAATACCTGGGGCCTTTCCTGACCTCTGAGGAGCCCTACAGTCACACTTCCAATTTCATGTTTGTAGGTGTCTGGAAGTGCTCCCATTCATTGACTAACTTTATCCTAATCCTCTTTCAATATCTTTCTGACTTGTTGAGGGTCTAAGACAGAATAGAACCTGGGAGGTTAAAATGTGTACTCAGTTGAGTGCAGTTGGCTAGTTGGAAACTGGAAGGAACTTGTATAAAGTCTCAGCTCAGAATGGGAGTGCTTTGGGCCAAAGTTCTCTTCCAACGAAGTGGAATTTAGCTTTCAGGAATCTCATAAAGTTTTATTTCTTTCTTATTGCTCCCTGTTCCTTGCTGAATTTGGGAATTTAAGCTCTAGGTTGTGTTTATAGACTCTCTTGCTTTTCAGAAGGCCTGGCATGAGAGCTCTGCTTCATTTATAGCACCCAGCATAGAATTTTATACAAGGAGTAATAAAAAATACAGTGAATGTTTAAATTTTTAAAAAGTATTACAGCCAAAAGACACATTGCCATTAATCCTCTCAAAATACTCCCTCTTGCTTCAAACACACTTATCCTGTTATTCTTATCACTTTCTGAAGCAGTTCAAAAATCCTCTTTCATGTCTTTATAAGATGTGATCAACAATAAGGTAAATACTGCTGCCAAGTGCCATGCAACAGAAAGGCAGGCTCATAAAAACATGACCGTGTGTCCTCATCCACCTTGTTCATTGAATCTGGCACCATGTAGCTTCTAGCTCTTCCCCAAAGTCAAAATGACCACAAAGAGTAAACATTTTGAATCTATTCAGGACATCAAGGCAGTCATGACAGCACAACTAAAGACACTCTACAACTGCCTCAGAAAGTGTCAAGAAGTGTGGGATAAGTGTATTTGAAATGAGGGGAAGTATTTTTTAAAAAAATAATTTTATTGGTACATTTAAGGTATACAATATAATGACGTTCATCATTGGAAATTTGCACCTTTACATAATCTCTCTTGGTTCTTATTTTTTCCCCATTCCCCTGCCCTCCCTTCAGAGGGAAGTATTCTTAGAGTGATTCATGGCAGTATGTCTTTTATTGCAATAATTTAAAAATAATATTTAAACCCAAATCCATGTTTTATCACATCTCGTACAAATCACTGAAAACCTACTCTATGTTCTGCCTTCTCTCCAGATGAAGTCATCTCCAAGGCCCTCCAGATAGACGTAATTTTCAAATGTTGTCTTCTGGGAGAATAGAGTGGGATGGACACCGAGATTGCCATGGTAGTAGCGGGTAACACAAGTGAGAGTCAGCGCCATTGCTTTGAGGAACCAAATATAAATTCTAAACCTGAATTTTGGTGACACCACTCGGCTGCTGTTTCAGGCCATTCCTTTTGTTAAACTAGTCCTCTGGTGGAGTCGAAGCCACAGTCCCTTCCGTTGTGGGTGGGGCCGTGGTTGGGAGGCATTGCTGTGGTGTTTAGAGCCCACACATTTTCCCCCTGCCTTTGTTACCGGGTAACTGAACACAGCGAGGTGGCCTTCAGCGCAGGTAAGCCAAATTTCTGGTGGGGATTTCCCTGAATGACAGGCAGGAGGAAGCCAGCCACTTATGCCCAGTTTCTCTTAAATCTGTCTTCAAATAACTGAACAGAGAGAGGGTGCATAATTGACAACATTTTCATATCTTCTTTGTTATGAAATGTTTTTAAAATAATATTTATTTTAAGTAGCAGGCAATTGGGTTTTTATTAAAAATTGTTAGTTTCTTTAAATTGGACAAGGATTAAAAACGTCAGATTGTTAAGCTATTAGGCAGGAAATCACTGTGAAATGGAGTAAATGGCTCCCAACAACAAGCCATCTCAGTGTGGGACATATTTTTAGTTGACTAGTACTGACATTGCAAGCCAGGAAGTGCTAGAGTAGACATTTCCATGGATCCATCAGTTACTTGATAAACACTTTACTAGATTTCAGAAGGAGAGAAAAAAAATCTTTCTGTAAGAATCTTCCCTGAAGAAGGCAAGACTCCATCTTTGGAGGGTCGGGAGCACAGTGTAGTGAAGGTTGTATGTGGGACACCACGACTGTTTGCGTGACACTTGTCACAAGGGCAGGCAGGAGACCTGACAAAGCTGTGTGGCCCAGGGCAATGCACTCCACCTACTTGGGCTTTAGATTGCTCTTCTAGATAAGGTGGATCATTTCTAAAATCCATTTCAATCCTCAGATTCTAAGGCTGTGGGTGACTAAGGAGGTTGGGGAGGGTGGCTGAGGGGTCACCTATGCCTGGGAGGTCCAGTGGGATCAGCATGAGTCTGGAAACTGGGAAAGGGGTGGGAGATGGTCTCCAAAAATAAGAAAGGAAAGAAGATCAGCAAGTACCCTTAAATGGCTTCCTTGGGACAAGTGATTTTTGAACTTTGGAGGTACCAAGACTCAACACTTAGAGCCTTTATTAGGGGTGTTAGGGATATTAGTTTGCTCCCACATAATAGCCATCTTTCTCTGTTTGCCTCACAAGCCCAAAGCTGGTGAGAGTGTGGAAGTGCTTGAAGCAGGCTGCTTGGACCACAGGGAGCAGTCGCTGTACATGAACAACATTCTAATGGTGCCTTCCATAAAGTATCACAGCAGCCTCCTAAAAGGTGAAATACACTTGTCCATAGGGGCACTCATGAGTTTGCTTGACTGATTGCCTGGGAATTACTGGGTAGACCAGATGAACGTGGACTCACTTCTCCCAGAGGAAGATCCAGTGGGTAATCACAAGGGCAAAAGGACTAGCTCCGCCACTGAGTGGCCCAACTCAGACCCCTGGGGTTCCCTGAGGGCTCAGGTCTGTAGCCAGAGAAACCCAGAGCTTGTAACAGGGTCAAGAAGGGTGTTCCATGTGAAAACACTCATAGGGTATTAATTGACCTTGTTTTAAAAGAGATAATCTATAGAATATTCCTTTGAAAAGTGATTTCACTAGCACTAAGCCCCTTATCTCTGGCTTGTTGGACTCACAATGTCTCCGTCTCATCTTTCCCCATATCCCGGCCTGCTTAGAACCTCCTTCAATAACTTTCCTTTCATTATTAAGGATATTTAATATACAGTTGTTTAAAATATGACCAGCATAGGCACATTCAAAACATGCTTTCTGATGAAACAAACCCTAAATTAATAAGGAATAAAAATGCCCAACTAATAATAGTTTGATAATTAAACTAGTAGACCACCTCTTTTGATGTAACAGCTTATTTTTACTTTCACATGACCTTGTCTCAGTATATGCTTTCTTTGATGTTGCAACTGGGGGGAAGTTAAACTATCATATCTGCCACTTTGTCCTCACATCATGCCATAGACACATAAGTAATCTCGGGGGCTGGACTCTTACTTTTCTAGCTATGGATTTAGGAAAGTTCAGTCATCCCATTAGGCCTTTCTTAGCTTGGTGAAAACTCCCTCTAAAACTCTGTCGAGCATTTCTTGGAACAGGAAGAGGGTCTTTTACTTTTGGAATTTGACAGTAGCCCTTGGAGAATATCCTATTGAGGATATTGGAGGCCATCCTACTGAGACTATTCCAGGATTCATTTTAGGAGCTTTAAAAAAACTTCCTTCTGTAGTGCTGACAGCATATTTTGGAGGATGAAGTAGAAGGAATATGAAAGGGGACACTGTTTTTCTTGTAGTGGCCTGTACATGTGGCCCTAAATTCAACCTCTGCCTCAATTTTGTTCACATAGAAAATCAGAGAGCACCCAGTCACTGCCATCTTAGCTCCACTGAGTAGAAGGCTGTGGTTGGAGGAACACTGATGAAGAGTAGACTTTAACTGGTGTGTATCTGAAGGAGTGGGTCACTGTAAGTTTGTGGCCTAGAATCAGCTGGGGCATGGTATGAAGAGTACTAGATTTAGAGCCAGAATTCTAGGGTTCCAAATTGCTCTGGCTCTGGGTAGTTGAATGACTTTGGGTGAATTATGTAAGCTCTAGTATTTAAATGTCCTCATCTGGAAAATGGGCTTAATAACCTCTACTGCACAGGGATATTGTAAGCATGACATTAAACATAGAGTGTGAAAGCACCAGAATAAATGCTTGCATAAATAATTAGTAAATTGAGAGTGGAAGTCAAGGAGAAATATTCAATTTAGGTGTTTTCAGTGAGTCTCTGTTGGGTCAGAAGGAAAAAGTATTAAATTTTTTCCATTAATGATCAACTTTGGCTCTGCAGAGAAAGAAATGCAATAGATATTTATTGGTCACGGTGGGCAGCAGGGAAATGAGATGATTCGTGTTAACAGAGGACTTCAGGTTTTTATCTCCATTTGACCCTCTGCGTATCACAACACATGGGGCTCCCAGGGAAGAGCTGGAGTGGGCCTACAGCATGTTCCATCCCTGTTTTGGTTTCGCCCCTGTCTTCCACCCGTCCTGGCACACAGCAGCCTCCAGAAGAAACAGTCCTCTCTTTGGACTGTTTACATGACTGACTGGAACTTTCAATACCTACCCTAAAATTCTGAGAGCATCTGCACATGTCTACTGACCACTGCTGTTGAAGGTATCAGCCTTGGGCAAATGCTCTAGAGGTTTTTTGGGAAAAAAAATAAAACAAAACCTAATTACTTATTCTGTCTAGACCCTGTGGGGTCTCCTCTTGGTAACTACTTCAAGTGTTCTGGCCATATGGAAGTGGTTTCTAGAGGCCAAGATGAAGGAGTAGTCCTTGCTATTAGTTAAACAGCCAAAGTTCTCAGCTAGGTTTCCAAGGATTGCTTGGTATCTGTGGAGAATATTCATGGGGCTCCATGATCCTGGATGTGAAAATATTACATCATGATTTTCCATTCCCTCTCATTAAAATTTAACATCTTTTCTTGATACAAATATAGTATTAACTGCATCTGTGACTGTTACCAAGAGCAATCACAAAATTTTTGTATCACATTACACTTGTTGCAGATAACTCAAACTATCATGACCCGATGTCACTGAGGTTATTAGACTGATACAGATAGTCTTACTTAATGTGTTACTAAAGAAGGACATATATTATTATGATATCACATTTATTTAAAAAAAGTATTTCAATAATTGAGATCATTGAGAAGGGACCCACATTCCTCAGTAGGTTGTGAAATGGGTTCATAGTATGAGTAAAAGGTTAAGAACTCTTAATTTATAGCATTCTTGCAGACAGGGCCAATGCAGTGACTTCTGAACAGGACAAGCTGATAGATGGACTCTGTCAAAACAGAGGACAGTGTTCTTCCTCCCTATGGGTAGCCTTGGAGTTGTGGAGGGACCTTGGCATAATAAAAATGATAATAATAGTAATGATTGTAATGATAATAAGAGCTAACATTGGGAGAGAGCTTGTTATAGGCCAGGTGGTTACAGGCACGTTCAATGTCCTATTTTGTAGAATCCTCCCACTCACCTGAGAAGGTAGGTCATGGGGCAGTCAGAGATAGAAAAGACCTCTCACCCTTAATGATGACAGACCCTTGGTGCAATTTCAAGCAAAAATGGGGACCAACCCCCTCTCCAGCATCGTGGGTGTGTAGCATGTGTAGCTACGGCTGGCCTGAGATTAGAAATATTCTGCATTTGATGTAGTGCTCTGCTGTGGTTCTTTTGAAAATCCTTATATGTTTTGAACCAGGGACTTCATGTTTTCCTTCTGGACCAAGCAATGCATCATATGACTTCTCCTGCCTCTGGAGGTGGTGACATTGTTTGGACGAGTGACAATTCCTGATGCTGGGAGTCTTGGAAACGGAGCCCTGTGAGGGTGGAGGTGGTGGCAGGGAAGCTGAGGCCTTCTAAGGAGGAAAGGTGTAGTTTTTGAGTTGATGAGTTTTGTAGTTTAGTTTAAGTTTGGAAGGTTTCCTGCAATACAGTGTAGGAATGTTTGTATTATATGCTAGAAAGGATTTAATTTCTTGGACAAGCTTTCTGATAGGTTTTCTTGCTTCCCTTCCTGATAAGTTTTCATTTTTTACTTTTCCAGAGAGCCGGCTGTATAGGCCAGTGAATTAGGAGAAGCAGAACAAAGTCTGTTCTGGAAGGAAAATGAAACCTAGTGGGCCAAGAATCTGTTGCTCTTGTAGGGAGACACTAAGGAGTTGGCTTTGTTGCCTACTGTTGTTTAATGAGTATCGGAACAAAGGGAAAACTCCACTTTTTCTGAAGAGGAGGTCTTCTAATATGTGAGCAAATCCAGATGTCACAGTGTTTGCTGCTTAAGCTGCGAAGACGGTGACAGAATAAGCTTATGAGGTTCTGTCTGTAATTGAGGGCTAAAATTTTACCAACTGTTACAAGTTCTGGAACAGGATTGTGGACCCGGTGGCAGTGAAAGAGGAGGAGAATTTTTCTGGATGTCTTTGAGAGATTCAGACTTCCTGAATCCATAGTCTCTTTCTTTTTGTCAGTGTGCTGTTCCCAGCCCTCAGGACTCATGTGTGATACTCAGCCATCTGGTGCCCCACCAAGGGGGCCAGAGTTCCTTCTTAATTTTTAGCAGCTTTTTTCCTATTATGATTGCTGCTCTTTAGTTTTGGCTAATAAGTCTGAGGTGGCCTTAGGCAGCCACCTAACCCCTGAGTCAATCTGAGGCCATCCATGGAAGCCAGATGAAGGGTTTTGTTTTGCTTTTGGTACTGGGGATTGAACCTAGGACCTTATGCATGATAAGCAGGAGCTTAACCATTGAGCCACTCCACTAGCCCCTCACACTGCAGTTTAATGGATGAGTTTGAGGAGCTGTGAATTAGTCTTTCTGTAGTGTCTGGACTGATGTGCACTATCAGAGACCTTTTTATTAGGGTGCAAGTGTGATCATTGTGGCTCCTATTCAGATTTAGGGAAAAGTCACTGGAGCCTTCCTCAAAAGATCTCAACTGTCAAATTAAAAGGATGGGATCCTAAGTGATATCCTTCTCTTTAGAAATACAAGGAATCTGTTTTTAAAGCTACAAAGAATTCTGCTACTTTTCCCACCCCTCCCCTACTGCATTTCTTACAATATATCCAGTCCAATTACTAGATCTGTGTCTTGGGGAAGTTGCTTAACTTCTTTGTGCTTCCTCATCTGTAAAATGGGACATTAAATACTGATGTTTGAGGTTCTCGCCAGGATTGAATGAGATAATTCGTGTAAAGCCTAGCTCAATTTGTAAGGCCTAGTAAATACTCAGTTGATGTAAATTATCCTACCGTCAGTTTTTGTTGTTGTTTTGTAATTATGCAGTCTATGAAATTCCACGTTGGTGGCTGTTGATCTTTTCTTGGCTTGAGCTTCTTGCTCTTTTCCTGGGAGGAAATTTGAGTCTTGAAATGGTCAAATCCATTGTCCTTGTCCATCTCACCCCTCCCTGGCTCCAATCCCCACCCTCACCTCCCTCCACCCTTCCCGCATTCCTGTGCAATTGGTCTTATTTATTTTTCAGTCAACTAAGGGTGTTGTTAAATCTTTTCTTCTGCTGCTGCTTGATTTGGTCTGAGGCACTCTACTCCCTGCCCTGCTCATGACAAGTACTCCTGGGAGTGCTCAGCCAGCCATATCCCTCCCTGTTGGATCACCCTGTTCTCAACAGTCCCGGGGAAGCCATGTTCCATGGCCTTTCCCATTAAACCAGTGGTCT